AATTTTTTTTTTTTTTTTTCCCAGCCTATAAACGATTATATTTTAATATAAAGCAGCTACTATCAATATATTCAAATGTAGATATTGAAATTATATAAAACTTTTTCAACACCTTGTTTATTTTTTATTAAAGTGTATAAATAACCGCATGACATAAAATCATTAATTCATGACTCAGTGTAAAATAAAAGTCCAGCCATGAGTTTCTTTAGTGCTAAAAATAAAATTCTGAACTGGTTCTAAGCCTTCACTACAACATATTTGAAAATATTTTTTTTGTATTCACTGGTAGATTTGGTGGCTCCAATACTGATAGTGGCCTAAACTTAGAATGGCCTTTCCTCTCCTTCATTTATGAGAGATGGATGTGGATTTGAAAGAAAGGTGCCAAGGGGCTGGACCAGTTCACACATAATCTCACCTTGTTGGTCGGCTCCAGTTTCAGGGCCTTTTTCAGCACCTCCATTGCCTCTTTGTATTCGCCCTTGTCTGACAGGAGCTGTAAGAGATCAGAGACCCACAGCGTGAACAGTGCCGGAGGACCCACACAGAGAAGAAACGGCAATAATTTAGCTGTTAGATTTTTTTTCCTCCAAAATAATCTAATCTTATCACACATTAAAAATATATTTCTCCTCCTTCCAGGAAATCTCACTCCAATAATCATTTATTGGTTGATGAAGATTAAATAAATTAAGAATTTAGAATTAAAAATTTAAGAATGTAGACAAAATGTCTAGGGTAGTTGATAATTTACTTGAATGTGTGACTGTTGAACTACTTTTGGAAAAAAAGAAGAATGTTGTAATAAACTGTATTTATAGAGCACCTGGAGCCAGGATAGAAAAATTTAATGACTGGATGGAAGAAAATTACTCACCAATAAGTCATAAATTAATGTTCATATGTGGTGACTTTAATATAGATCTGTTGAATCCTAACAAGCACACAGGAACTGAGGAGTTTATTAACACAATATATAGATGCAGTTTATACCCAACAATTACAAAACCAAGTAGATTAACAACCCAGCATGCAACACTAATAGATAATATACTTACCAATGTTATTGACAGCAAAATGTCTAGTGGATTACTTATAAATGATATCAGTGATCATCTACCAGTATTTTTTGGTTATGACTGCCACGTTAGAAATGAAAGGCCAAAAACAAATCTTTTTTATAGGAGGGTGATGTACGAATATGCTGTAAGGAGGCTAAAAGAGGATTTTATGGGGCAAGACTGGGATGCAGTTTACAAAGAGGAAGACTTAGACAAAGCATATGAGCAATTTTTAAATATATTCATGGAAGTATATGACAGGA